GTTTTCTCCCCCCCCCCCCCCAGCTTGTCAAACCCAGCTAATTTCCCTGTGAATTTTTTTTTATGTGTAATCTGGTCCATTCTTTAGCCAACTATTCCTATTTCTTCTTTCAAGACTGTCATTAAAACATTTAGATGCTAACCACCTGTAGGCAAAAATACAATGACTCTTCCACATATTTATATAATAGAGGAGTTACGGGTTAAATTAGACGCTAGTCTAGGCTCAGTGTTTCTTTCCCTTAAATATTCTATGAAGGATGAGTTCTCGACCTAACAGATGTCAATGACTGAGATAGATGTAAAAAGATATCAGAATGCTGTTGACAAATCAGTAACCAGTGTTGTTCCAAACAATGGTCTAACCGATAATTTTTTTGCCTATTTACCGTTCATCTACATATCATTGGGTGCAGCAGGCACCTGACCTGTGACAATAATTACAGGGTTTTATCCTAATCCTACATATATGTAGTGTTCTAAATTCTATGTGTTTTAGTTCTAAAACTGGGGGGGGGGGGTATGGGCGGGGGGCAGATTCGTTTTAAAAGTTTCTATTTAGATAGCTATTTCGTCAAATTGCCAAGGCCTTTTAACAATGACAGCTCCTTGAGTACATTGACTTTTGAGCTGGCCTTTAACACTGACAACTCCCTGGGTACATGGACTTTTGAGCTGACCTTTGAACCTATACCATATCCCCTGTCAAGGCTTTTTTTTAATATTGGCTTTTGTAATGTTTTTTTGTTTTTTTTTGGACTAAAATATCTGGGTATAAACCTTAATTGAGCTTGCAGTCTCTGTTTTTATCTTCTTTTAGGTATGCCAATTGGCCTTTAGTATACATAGGAAGAGCCATCATCGTAGTGGCTGGGTTTTGTCTGTGGCCCACTAAAGGGGAGCGGGCCTCTGCTAAGGAAGCACCTCTTCTTCTGGCCGCCCCCCACTCTGGTCTCTTTGATATCATAATCTACTTTCTGGAATTGCCAATGTCCAGCCCTGTGTCTCGCCAGGAAAATGGGGATATTCCCATATTTGGAAGTAAAGTAACAGTGTGTACCTCTGGGTGACAGCTTGCTGTCTTTGAACCAACCTGCTTTCCCTTGACACACCTTCAACCCATCCCTTTGCCAAATGTTTCTATTTTGGATTTGATAACTTAGATTGATATGGAGGACAATTAGGCAGGATTTAGGAGGTGATAATGTCAACGTTTTTTTTTTTTTCAGGATACCGGTACAATTCATGTTTCTCAAAATATTCCATCCCATTTTGCATATACTTTAGTTAAAAAACAAGCGCCCCCCCCCCCCCTCTCTCTCTCTCTCTCTCTCCCAACATACACAAGCTCCTTTCTGTCTTTGCTCAAACTGAAGTGAACCTGGTCACCTTCAATACTGCATCACACTTCTTAAGGTACAACATGATACATAAAGTATACATTTTCATGTGAATTTATACTATTAATGCACGTTTTTAAACAAAGTTTTATTAGATACTCAAATTACACACAAATATTTCAAATCTGCATATTTTTTTTACCCATCAGCATAATTTTTTTAGGACACATATTTGATATATTATAATTGTACAAACTACGAATCTTCAGCAACTTTTTTTTATCTGTTTTCCGACCTGACTCTGTCAACTCTGTGGGTTTCTATATCTCTGTTTCTCTATGCCGGTCGAAACTATGTTGAGTACCTCTCTGTGTTGCGCACCTAGTTTTATAATTTCATTCAATTAATTCTCTGTTCATAATCAAATGCGTGTGTACTGATAATAATAGTTCATTAATTGTGGGCCGGGATCAGCCCCCTATGGGTTTTAACTTAAATCAGGACATACAAATGTATGATTGTTGGCCATAAGAGGGATTAAAACCCACTTCTACCCTCGATGGAGTATAAAGTATATCCCCGCCAGATGTCTCCAATCTTGCTATCGCTAGTGTGGGTAAACGCGCATCATTAGAGAGACTATTGTGATGCAGCTACCAAAAACAAAAATCATTGTAATTACTTAATACATCCAGAGTTTTTAGGGGTGAATATGTGTTGGCACTGTCACTTTAATTGGGGAGGGAGAAGAGATTGAGGGTGCGGAACAAAACTGGGGTTAAGGTTTGGAGATAAGTCTCAGTAAGCCTCCATGCGTTCAGCATTTNCCCCCCCCCCCCCCCGAAACCTATAAGATCTGACTTCAACCTTGATAAACTTAAAACGTGGCGTGTTTCGCTTTCTTCGGCCCACACTTCAGGGCTTGCGTCCGTGCAGCTAGTTCAACAGATCGGATGATTGCTCTATCTGGCCTCCGTTTGGGCCAGTGGACCTAAAGACGTGTATCTCGTCACTGATCAGTTCTTGTTATCAGCAGCGATGTTTCACTTTGTATTCGTTGTTTTACGCCCTTGCCCTTCACACAATTTTTTTTGTTTTTTTTAAAGATGATTAAGATGGGGTGCATCCGCTCTTGTCTCTGGTTTAACGGGTCTCTAGCCTAGTGTCCTTGACCTTGAGCTAACGTGTCTCCTCACGATGTGTGCGACTGAACGTCCAGTAGTCTACCGCCACTACCGGTGGTTAATTTTCTATCTATTTTTAAAACTCCAAATGCTCGTTTTATGGAGAGAAATAAAATTTTGCATTAATTATAATATGAATTCAAAATTCTATTATTTTTTAAAAATATGTATGTGTCATTGGAAAAGTTGAGAACCACTGCTCTAATGCGAACTGATTGTCACAAAAAAGGGTGGGGGGGGCAGAAATGACTAATTATTAATGCTCAAATAGTATCATAATAATTGTTTTAAAACTAGATCAAAGAAGAGCTTCGGGCGATGGCGAAATGTTGGGGTAAACGGCCAGTGCTGGGAGGTGGTGGGTGGGAGCTCATGGTTTCTGTACCAAAACCTTCGATTCGTGTACATCTGCGCGTGTAGCTGCACTTTCGACAATATACTACTGGTGGCTGGGCGCTTAGGGCACCACGCGGCCATGGTCTGGCGATGGCCCTTATTTGTTGTTGTTGTTGTGCAAACTTCTATTGTGGACGACGGCTCCTATCTCGTGGCTCGCGCGGGCTGTTAACAAGCCAAACACACACACGAGTGGCGTACTTTCTGAGCACGGCCAAATGTGTGTACATATCAATGGCTTCCTACAGACTGAAAGGACGTATGTCATTAGAATGAAACCCAATGATGTCCGTGGGTTTCCATTCCTTGAAGGATGCCAGTCTTGTCTCGTCTGCTACAAATCATTATCCTAGGAGTGAGGTGGTTCTATTGGCTGGCTTTCTTGTCGGCAAGTCCTCATCGACTTATTTTCTCCACTCAAGATTAAGATACTTGCCACTTACGGAACTTATTTTCTCCACATAAGTTTAAGATACCATTTTCTCCACTCAAGATTAAGATACTTGCCACTTATGGAACTTATTTTCTCCACACAAGATTAAAATACTATCTTCCCTGCATTACATCGTTTGAGCTCGTTGACCCCCCCCCCCCCCCCACCCTTTTTTTT